GTCACTACAAATATTCTGAATTCCTTATCAGACATGTCCACGACGTCCATTGTATTGACTGTGGGTGATGTAGGCTTGATGATTTCCCTTGACGGAGAGGCCTTTTGTTGGTTGCTCATATTTCTTGAGCCTTTGCGATTGTTCTTAGTCATCAGGTAATCTATATGGTGCTTGCTAACTTATTTAAGGTATCTCTGATTCTTAAAAGTTGTACAGGCTTAGAAGATTGATGATTTCTCTTATGGTTGGCCTACCTATTACTCACAATTACCATTAACTGTTGCCACTAGCCCTGGAAGGCCCAAAGTCCTCGCTTTACTCACAATTACCATTAACTATTGCCACTAGCCCTGGAAGGCCCAAAGTCCTCGCTGTATCTAAGGAGTGGTGAGCCTTCAACTGACCAAATAAGCAACACCCCAAGAGCAAAGAAAAACAAAATGGAAAAAGAAAATCGCGCGGTGCGCAATGTGCTCCGCGCGCTACTCAAATCACCAAAATTCAAACAGTCCACAGAACTGCTGGCCGGCTCGATCCGGGTTTCGGGTGGGGAGGGGTGGGGGTTCGCCTTAAAGTCCCAGGCAACCAACCTGGGGTCCAAGGAGGAAGAACGGTGGGGATGCGTGGAGTTTCAGTAGGGTCGAGCCTGCAGCCTCAGTCCGCCTGGTGTCCGGAGAACAGGCTTTTAATAGTATTGTAGGCTCTTTGTGTAAAAGGGAGAAAAGATCCTTGCATATATACGTGCAAAAAGGTGTGATGGGTGCATCAAACATTTTGGAAGGGCGCATGAGTTGCCTCTAGGAAAGGGGCCTATGGGAAGGAATAGGAGGGGGGTCTTACTTTTCACTGTATGCTGTTTATTTATTTATTATTATTATTATTATTATTATTTTGGAGAGGTTTTTGCTATAGGGTGCATGCACTCGCCAGAAAGACAGAGAGAGACAGAGAGACAGAAAGTGAGAAATCACTCCCCAGGGGGGATGGCCATGGTGCAATCCCTTCATCTCCATTCTCTTCTTGGGATCCTGGGCACGCACACACATGTGCCCGGTGTGAGTTTAAACCACCGGGTCCTGGACTTGAACCATGGTTGACTACATGGGAGTCCAGTGATGTAGCCATTATACCATCTGCTGGCCCCAACTGTAGATTTACTTCTTAGTTGGGGCTTTTGAGTAACCTCTCTTGAAACACGCCTGCGATAGGGCTGGTCCTGTAATCAGTGGTAAAGCACTGTGTACTGAAAAGCCGGATCTCACATGGCCGGCCATGTTTTGGCCTGGGCCCCAGTGGCTTGAAGGACATTCTGGGTGTGTGTGGGTTTCCCAGGATACTGATAAGATAATTGGAGGAGGGGGGTTGTGATATGGCCACACCCCACAGGGGGGAATCTCTCTCCTGCGTGTGTGTACACATATGTCCTCCGGCAGTAAGAGAGAAAAAGGAAAGTACCAGTGATATGTGGGAGAACTTTGGAACTTTTGTGGAAAATAGAATTAAAGTACAAGTTCGTTCTGGTGCAAAAACTAGGGGCCAATGGAAGGAGTAGGAGAGGGGTCTTATTTCATGCACAGTTTTCACATAATACATGTTTTCCATCGGCTTTTTGAAGTCCTCTTGTGTGTCTCCTAATCACCAAATCCAGTTTCCTTTCTTCATCTGCCAGCTGCCTTGCCATGCCTACAACGTGTTCTGGTTGTTGTGGAAGAGATTAGCTGTCCCTGTTACTCTTAACTAACATCTACAGACTACAAAATCTTCCCTGACTCACTGATGTAGAAGGTGGTTCTCAACTAGAATGTGCATCCGAATCTTGCAGGGACGTTGTTAACCCATATTCCCAAGCCCTAGCCATTCTAACCGTTGACCTACATTGGAACTCAAACTGTACGTGGAAAATTAGAGTGCATGTGGACCTTTGTCATTTGTTTCGGTCCTGGAATTGGAAGAAAATAATTACAATAATTTGAAATCGAGATGTCTTCACAGGGGTGCCTATAGTTTCTATAAGTAAAAAGATTTCACAGGAGTTTCTAAACACCAATGGGACATAGTAAAGGAGATAGAAGATGCTAGAAAGTAGAATAGGAATTAGGGCCAGCAGGTGGCGTGGTGGTTAAAGTGTGGGATCCCCATTGCCTAGTCTGTGGTTGAGTCCTGGACCTGGCGGCCTGGAAAACACACCAACGTGCATGTGTGTGTAAAATCCTGAGAGGAGACTGGAGGAGAAGGGATTGTGACTTGGCCATCCTCCTTGAGGGGTGATTTCTCACTTTCCTTATCTCTCTGCCTTTCTCTGGCAAGCACAAGTGCTTGTGGAAAAATAAATCTAAAAAAGAAAGAAAAAGCAGGACCAGGTAGATGGGAGAAAGAGCTCTTAAACTTCTCCTAGACAGCAAAAGTGAAGATGAGACAGTAGGTACTTGAGTCATGCTAGCCAGGCCTAGGTTCTGAGTTCTCCCAGCCCTGGGATGTTTCATGACTGTGAAAAATGCCCTGCCAGTTACTCTGCTTGCCCCCAGGTCTCTGCATCGCTGGTGCTGCCAGCTTCTTAGGTGTGAAGACGGACAAGGCAAAGCCAGGAAGCTGAGGAAGCCTGTGTGCTCGGGACAGTGAAGTGTCTGCCCAGGCGTGCTTGGGATGACAGTGGTCAGTCCCCAGAGCAGGTGAGCTGTGACCAGAGATGGCCCTTGTGTTCTGTGCCTTCACAGGGCGGGCCCTGACGGAGGCGGCCCCCTCATTCTCCAGTTTCCTGAAAGACTGCACCGTCATTGAGGGTCAGGATTTTGTGCTGCAGTGCTCCGTGCAGGGGACCCCAGTGCCCCGAATCACTTGGCTGCTCAATGGTGAGTTCCCCTGCCCCAGCCCCCTCTCCAGTCCCTGGGCTTCCTGGCCCTCCCTGAATTCCCACTTACTCTGAGTCATGTATGCCTCTGATTTTCCAGTGGCATAAGAAGAAAGCGAGGGTCGGAGAGGGCCCAGGAGTGGGAGTCTGCCACCAACAGCTGGGCAAGTCACTGCTCCTATCTGAACCTTGACTTCCTCATCTGCAGGATGGGAATAGTGCTACCTACCCCACAGGGTGCTGGGTAGGAAATTAAACGGGGTCATTTATATAAAGTGGTTAACATAGGTGTTCAGGCATTTTAATTTATTTTTATATTGTCAGCCTCATACAAGGCCCTCAATAAATATTTGTTGAGTCAATGAATGAACAAAAATTAACAAATGAATGAACCACACCAGAAGTTGCTCAAGGAATCTCTCATTTTGATTAGTAGCAGGTGGTTGTGGGGTTCATAGGCCAGTAATACTTTTTAATGTCACAGTCCTATAACATTAAACTCTTGGCAGCTCTGACTTTTCCAAGCAGGATCATTTGAAAAAAAATATCAATTGTCGTACACCACTACCCTTTTCTTTTTAAAAAGGCTTTTTCATTTCAAAAGTGTGGGAGAACTCTAATCTTAGACCAGGAAACAGTCCATTAAATTGGTGAGATTGAGCAGGGACTGCTTTGGGGATGCACCCACAGGCGGGATGAAGGAACACCTGCTGAGAGTCACAGACATGGGCACTCCCCTTTCTCCAGTACTGAGGGGCTGTGGGACCTTGGACAGCTCTCTCTGCCCCTGTGTGAGCTGGCTTCTGTATCAGTGAGGAGGCGAGCGGAAACAAGGTTCGGGGCTCGGCCAGAACTCATGTTTGACAGCAGCACCACCACTTTTTCTTTTTAAAAGATTTTTGCCTCAGGGTGCATGCATTCACCAGCAAGATTAGAGAGACAGTGAGAAGAAAAGTGAGAAATAACCCTGGTGGGGGGGTGAGGGGGGTCGCCACACCACAATCCCTTCTCTTCCATTCTCTTTCTGGGGTATTGGGCACACATGCCCAGCATGATTTTCAAGCCGCTAGGTCTGGAACTCGAACCGTGGTCAGCCATGTGGGAGTTCAAGACCTTAACCACTAAGCCACCTGCTGGTCCCCAGCACCTCTCACTTATGCACCAGATCATCCCCGTTGTGTCTGTGTTTTTATCTGAGGCCTGTGAACCTTCTTTGTTGGTAGAGTCTGCTCAGGCTTCGCTAAAAAAAACTCTAAGGAGCGTGTGGTGGTGAGGGGGGGAGGTTGCCATGGAATCTTCTATCTGTTGTTACCTTGGGTGGGTAGGTGAGAACTGAGGTCTGCTTTCCCTTCCACCTCTCACCTAAGGACAGAACTCCTGCTAGATCCTGCGACTGACTGCAAGGAGGCGGCCTCGTAGCAGCTGGATCAGAATACAGACACTGGGACTAGTAATGGATCCCAGTAAGAGAGTTCCACTTCTGCCCGGCTCAGCCTAGACCAAAGGTCAACAGACAGCTTCAGCAAGGGACAGATAGCAAATATTTTCAGCTTTCAGGCCATGTAGGCCTCTGTGACAATGACAACACTTTACTGATAGAGTGTAAAGCAGCCATGATCTGTAAATGAATGCATGTGGTTGTGTCGCAATAAAACTTCACTCATGAGCACTGCAATGTGAATTTCATATGATTTTCGTATACTTGGAATAGTCTCTCTTTTATTATTTTCAACCATTTAAAGCCTTTTTTTTTTGAAAGAGAGAGAGAGAGAGAGAGAGAGAGAGAGATTTTTTGCTGTAGGGTACCTATACTGGCTAGAGAGACAGAGTGAGACAGACAGATAGAAAGCAAGAAATCACCCCCCAGGGGGGATGATGGCCACACCACAATCCCTTCTCTTCCATTCTCCTCTCAGGGTTTTGGGCACGCATGCATGCTCACCCATGCCTGGTGTGAGTTTTAAGTCACCAGGTCCGGGACTTGAACTGTGGTCGGCTATGTGGGAGTCCAGCAACATAACCATTATGCCATCTGCTGGTTCCGTAAAGCCTATTGTTAGCTGCAGGCCACATTAAGATAGGCTGCTGGTTGGACTTGACTCAGGAGTTCTGGTTTGCCCCTGGTTTGTACCACCCAGAACTGATTTCTTCGTGAAACTTGGCACTTCCACGTCATGACCACTGGAGGGCGATCACGCTCAGATTGGGTTTCCTTGGCCGCTGCGCTGAGCTGGGAGAGTTCTGAGTCTCCCAGTTCTGATGGGGCCAATAGCTCCTTTCTGGGGCCTCTATCTCATTGCATGCTTTGGGGGGGGGGTCATGCTCTAGTAAAAGGAGAGGTCTCAGAAAGCTTGTGGGCACGTGTTTGGGTAGCAAAGGCATGTTAATGGTAGCCAGGAAATGTTTTGGTGTAATGAAAGAAGAGGTTTGGAATGTGTCCTCATGAAAAAAAAACGCAGAGCAGTGTTCAGTCCTCTCAGTGGTGAGCTCCTGGCCCCTGCCTTTCCTAGCCCCCGCCCCACTTTTATGAAGTACAATAGGTTGGGAAGAATCTCTCCCCTCTGTCCCTATGGCGTGCTTGAGTTCTCTTTGCCAAACTGTCATGGAGACATGAAGTGTTGCTATGTGCAGAATTAAACATTGCGTTGCAGAGAGAGGGCTTCTTTCTGTGCTCCCCCCTCCCCTCGGTTTTATGAAGTGCAAACCAGGACCCTGAGACCTGGCAAGGGAAGAAACTGACAGTTGCTTCCTATATGACAAGCGGACACAATCTAAAGCCAGAATCTTCAGTAACAAGAACTTTTCCCCTGGACATGAAAGCTCATAGCCTGGGATGATAGAACCCCAGCAACATACACATTACGGAAGCCGCCAAAGATCATTGCACGCGATCCTGTCTCCACGCAGGAATTTATGTGACCCGAATAAAGAATTTCTTGTGGAAGAGACTCTGGAAAGAAAGGGCCAGGGTCATTTTTAGTGCCCTGTATTACCTTTTCCATGAACCCCAAAATGCACCTAATGGCACAGAAGAAATGCACCTCATTGCAACATTGGGTTAAGAGTGCAAAATTATTTTCTTTAAAAAAAATTTATTTTTATTATTTAACTTTTTTTTTTTTTTTTTTTGGCCAGAAAGGGACATGATGAGAGAAAGAGAAAGTGAGAAAGGAAGCTGCCAGATCTGGGACTCGAACTGTGGCCGACCATGTAGAAGTCCAGCACTCTTAACCACCACACTACCTGCCGGCCCCCAGAATTGTTTTCTAATAAATATCTTCAGTGGGAAGTAGAATCATTGTTTGTGGGGACATCCGAAAGGAGCTGGGAGCCTCATGTTCAGTCTAGGCGAGGTCTGTTCTGCCTGAGCTGGGCTATTGGCCAGATGACCCTGTAAGACTTTTTCCAGGCTCGGAATGCTGTCACTTTGAGGAGACAGTCTAAGACAATGCCCAGAACTGTGTCCCCTTCTCTCCTGCATCCTAAATTCCTCCAGAATCCCTCCCCAGTCCTCCCAGGCCCAGCTTTGCTCCTCGCCCTGTACAATTACTCCCTTTCCTTCACCACCTTAGCCCCTGCTTCTCTCTCCAGCCCACACATCTCTGTCCAACTGGCTGGAGATGAGCCTGACCCATCATTAGCCCTCAGCGGTGCTGAGCAAGCTTGGTGAGCTCCGGCCTCGTGACTGTCACAGCAGCAGCCATGCTGGGGATGGGGCTCACAGCTCCATCTCGGGGTGCTCCCTAGCCTAAGCCTTCTTGTGCTTCCCTCCACAGGGCAGCCCATCCAGTACGCCCACTCCACCTGCGAGGCTGGGGTGGCCAAGCTTCACATCCAGGACGCCCTGCCTGAGGACCATGGCACCTACACCTGTCTGGCTGAGAATGCTGTGGGGCAGGTGTCCTGCAGCGCCCGGGTCACCGTCCACGGTAGGTGCCTCTGGTCATCTTGCTAGAAGCACTTTGCCTATAGACACCTCTGCTTTGAAGGAAGGGCACTTTTATAGAAAATCATCCAGGCCGAAGTTCGGACACCAGAGGTGCACATGGCATTGCTCTATACCACTTCTGGCAGGTCGATGTAATAACAGAGGAGAGGCCAAAACCTCCTGGGGATGGGAGAGTGAGCCCTTATAAAGTGCCGCACCCAAGGCAGGCAGGTGGGGTAGGTGACTGGGCACACCAGAGGAGGTGGCCTATTCCCCACCCCCGCACCCCACCTGGAGTTGTAGGACAATACTCAGCAAAGAGGCAAGAACCGTCTTGGTTCCAGAGGCTCCCAGTCTGGTAGAAGAAAACGTCATGCACCGTCAGAAGGCTTAGGAGGAAAACTTGCATACCCCCTTAGCAGTTGGGGGTCTCAGTACTGTAGCCAGCATCGCCTTACACACTGGGGACACTGGGTAACAGAGACGGGTACGAAGGCTTCCAGAAAGCCAAGGCTTGTCCCTCTCCCCCTGCGCCCCTCTCCCGCCCCAGGCTTGTTTGTATCCATCACAGCCTGGTGTCCCGTAATCTGATTATCATGGTCGTCCATGGATCAGCCAAGCACTTAGTCCCCAGGAAGCACAGGCAGCTGCAAACTCCAGACAGATCTGCCTGGCCTATGGGGTCAGCAGCCATGGTGACAGCTCCCGAGGGGCACGTCTTGGGTCTGGGGCTTCCAGGTAAGACTGATTCCCCCCTCGCCCTGAGCCCGGGGCCAGGCCCCAGCTCTGGTGTGTGACCGGTTCCGCCAGCTGCTTTGCCTGGGTACTGTGTGTGTGCTTTCCTTAGCAGAGATGTTTCCTCTCTCTGTCCCCAGGGCTCAGGTTTCTCAGGGAGACATTCTCTGTAATGCGAGCAGCCACCTTCTGGGAGATGGTTTACTGAACCGTGTTAAATAACACTTGTATTATCTGCTTGAGACCACAGCAGCCTGGAGGCAGGGGTGGCCCCATCTTACACAGGAGGGTCTAGAAGTCCCAAGAAGTTAATGTAACTTAAAGCTGGCCTTCTGAGCCCGGATCCTGCGACACTGGCATCCACGCTATTCCTATCCCTGCCCTTTTTCATGTTCCCTGGTATGAAGGGGGTGTGTAGCCACTGTGGGCTGGGGAGTCAGTCCCTCAAGGATAAAGTGATTGAGCCGAGGAAAATGTGGGAGGCAGGGTCTGGGAACCTGTCGGGGTGGGACATGCCCTGTCCTCTGATCTCTGTAAAGTGCCTCAGTATGGCATCGTCACCTGTGAGCTGGTCTGCCCCTTCCTTCCAGGACGCTGCACACTCAGGGCAGAGCCTGACTCTAGTCTCTGGAATTCGTCAGCCAGCATTCTGGTTTCCACATTTGTCCCATTTATACTCATGGTTCTAATTTCAGGGCTCATGGGGTTGGGGGCCTGGGAGACTGTGGTACGACCTCACCTCCTAGGGAGCAGTGCTCACCTCCCCACCAGAGGCTCGTCCTGGGGAGGAGTGGTCGGTGTGGCCCCCCCATTGCTACAGTGATGAGCAGAGTCCGAGGCTGGCACTGGTCCGGAAACCTCAGCCTCCTGTGTCCTGGTGCACTCCCCAGCAGCTCCAGCCTGCAGCCCAGCTAATCCAGTGCCTGTCCCAGCTGCCTGTGTTTAGAGTGGATTAGAGAGACCCAGCTGAGCTAATAGGCCCCGAAGGTAGAGGCTTCCCAGAGAAAGGATCAAGATCTCTATGGGTCAGGGACTGGGCCTGAGTAATCACCACCCAAATGTGTCTCAAACAGGAACAGAGAAGTCCAGGGCAAGAACTCTGGCACCACCATACGGATTTGCTCTAAGACCAGCCCTGCGGGAGAACTCTGCTCGGTGTCTGGGATGCACCGGCCTGAGGGCCAGACAGAGGCTCAGATACCATAAATGGAGCCGAGGCTGAGGTCCACACCATGCGCTTGGGGCCAGCAGGGTTAGGGCAGTCTCTACGCAGGGCTGGGACAGGGCAGTCCCAGTACGGGGACCCTGGCACTGCATCCCCTTGGGACAGGAGCTTTTCTTACCACAGTAGCAGCTCCTTCGGCTTCAGGTTGTGGGGGCAGCTTGGGGGCCAAGACGGTTATAGTGGAGGCATGGTTCTCTCCTACACGGGCTGCTGTTCCAGCCCCTGCCTCCTCTGCCCAGGCCTACCCTTCTGTTATCCTTAGCAGGGCACCAGCCACGGCGGGGAGCCCGGATGTGCAGCGGCTATGAGAGTCCTGCTCTGCCACTTACTAGCCCAGCGCCCTGGGCCGTGACCAACTCTCAGGGCCTCACCTTCCTCTCCTGTGAAGTGGGGCTGCTAACAGTCACTCGTGGTGCTGTGAGGATTGAATAAATGCGCACAGCAAGTGCTCAGCAAGTGTGTGCTGTTACTGTGATGATTGTCCAACAGAGTCCATCTCAAAAAAGGATAAAGTAGGGGCCAGCAGGTGGTCTAGTGGTTAAGGCACTAGACTTCCATGTGGCCAACTGTGGTTTGAATCCCAGACCCAGCAGCTTGAAACTCATGCCAGACGCATGTCTGTGTGTGCCCCAAATCCCGAGAGAATAGAGAAGAAGGGATTGCAGCGTGGCCATCCTCCTTAGGGGGTGATTTCTCACTTTCTGTCTGTTTCTCACGCACTCTATAGGGAAAACTTCTCACAAAATTAAATAAATAAATAAAATAGTTAAAAATACCAGGACTGAGGAGTGGTTTGACCAAAGGGTCAACTTGGCCACGGTTTTGTTTGTTTTGTAAAGAAAAGAGAGATCTAGAGAATCAGAGAAGGGAGGTGTTGGGCTGTCCCAAAGGCTCCGGCCTCAAGATGGCGCCATTTCCCAGTGCATCTCCCTGTGGTTACCTTGGGAGCAGCTCTGTAGGAGCGGAGCTGGGTCTGAGTTCAGCAGATGCTATGCTGAGGGCCAGTCCTGGGGACTCTTTCTCACCTCTTTAGCCTTTTGCCAAGGTTTTGCAATCATGCAGAGTGCAGACCCAGCACTCTAACACGGTTTCTGCAGCCACTCTGCCACGCTTTCTCTGCCCCCCCACCTCTGTAACCCTCTTCACAAATATCTGGCTAGCTCCCGTCAAGGTCACTTTCCCTGGGAAGCCTTCCTTCGTCACCCCAGAATGAGTACTTGTAACACCGCGTGCTTCTCCGATCATACTTATTTGTCAGCATCTCCTTGCTGATCGTCTGTATTTCTTTGTACCAGACATCATGCTAGGGAATCTGCGGTCAACAGGCCGGACGAGGGCCCTGCCTTTGTGGTGTTTACATTCTGATGGAGAGAGTGACAGAAGTCAACAGCTGTTCTCATTTCAGCTGTCAAGTGCTGCTGAGAAAACGAGCAGAACAAACAAGTGTAGAAAGGGTGCTCTTTTCGTTGTGTGATGAAGGACGCCTCTGGACTTCAGTGAACCGAGGACAGAATACTCCAGACAAACATGACAGCAGATGCAAAGGCCCTGAGTTGGGAAATGCAGGCCTGTTCAAGGGACAGCACGAGGGCCACTGTGGCTGGAGCTCAGTGCGCGGGTGGCGGAGCGACAGCAGACGAGTTCAGAGAGAAAGGCAAGGGTTCACTGTGCAGGGCCTGTGGGGTAAGAGAGGCGTTTTATTCTAGCTGTGAAGTTTTATAGTACTCGCTTGTTTATTGTCTTCACTAGACTGTTAGCTCCCTGCAGGGCAGGGCCATGAATTACTCACGATTGCGTGTGGAACACGGCCTGCCGTGTAAGGACCCGCTCAGCGGATGAACGGGAAAGCAAAGCAAGGGGCAGGAGTCTCTCTGCAGTGCAGTTGTTCCCTCGACTCGGTGCTCCCTGGAGTGTGCAGGAAATCTGCAGATTACCTCTTAAGAGTCCTTCAACAGGGGCCAGCTGGTGGTTTAATGGTTACATGGCTGACTACATTGTTCAAGTCCTGGACCTGATGGCTTGAAAAATCTCACTGGGCACATGTACACATGTGTCCAAAATCCTAGGAGGAGAATGGAGGAAAAGGGATTGTAGTGTGACCAATCGCCCCTGGGGGGTGATTTCTCACTTGTCCTCTATCTCTCTCCAGGTGGTGCATGTGCCTTATGGCAAAACCTTAAAAAAAAAAAAAAAAAAAAAGAGTCCCTTAACAAATATTCCTTCTTTTCTCCCCATAGGCTAGGGGTAAAAAAAAAAAATCTCCAAGGCAATGAAAGTCTTCCCTCCTCACCCAGGATGGAGCCAAAGAATGATTAATACAAATTCTTCCAGACCCAAGAAGATCTGAAAAAAAAAAAAAAGTATATATATATATATATAGAGAGAGAGAGAGAGAGAGATTTTACTCTGTACTAAATCAATGGTAGAGGCTTCCTTAGGCTAAAAGAGTTCTAAATTTATTTCCCCCTGGAGTATTTTTGTCAAGGCTAAATTTTTTTTTTTTTTTGGAGAGATTTTCACTATAGGGCGCGTGCGCTCGCCAGACAGACAGAGAGAGACATTAGAGTCAGAAAGCGAGAAATCACCCCCCAGTGGGGATGGTCACGCCTCAATCCCTTCTCCTCCATTCTCCTCTCGGGATCCTGGGCACGCACGCACACGCGCCCGGCGTGAGTTTTAAGCCACCGGGTCCGGGACGCAAACCGCGGTCGACTACGTGGGAGTCCAGCGACATAGCCTTTACACTAACTGCTGGTTCCCAGTCAAGGCTAAATTTTTGAAGTGACTAAGTTTATTAATAACCCGCTGATTGTGCCCATTTTTACATGATTTCTCAGCCTAATGGTTTGTTTATTTAACTGAAGGCCTGCTGGGCCTATTGTAGGGACCTGAAGACATAACGTGAGAGTAAGTTAAGAAGAAAAAGTAATCTCTAGACTAAAAAATAAAATTGAATAAGCATGTTTACCAGAGTATCTGCTTCGGTGTTGCGATGAAACGCCCCTAAGAAAGACGTCAGGCACCGGGGAGGTCAGCCCTTC